CAGTCCAAAACCAGATGGCTAGTAAGTAGCAAAGCCCGTATCTGAATTGAGTTTATATGAGTCTAGAGCCTAGGATTTCTACAGCATCTCACTTTGATTGAGCAAGTGGGAATCCTATTCATGGAAGTAGGAAATGAAGGAGGAAACATAGGTTTGGTGGTGGGGAAAGACATGTAGTTCAGTTACATCATACACACACTTAACATATCTGAATTTTACCTGTATTGTACATGTTTGCAAAAGAAAAAAGTGATCTAAATAGTGCAGACTATTTCATAAATCTCACGATATTTGGTACTGTTTGTAGACGTTATTCTTCTACCATTTATTTACAAGTAAAATAAATGCTTATCCAAGGAGACATGTACCTGTAGTTACATTCCTCCTTTTAAGATCTGCTCAATTCTTTTTTTCTAGTACAAAGGTGAGTTTTAATATCTTTGTTTAAAAAGTTTTTTTTTTTTTTTTTTAAAGTGGGGTAGGCCAGGTGCAGTGGCTCATGCCTGTAATTACAGCACTTTGGGAGGCTGAGGTGGGAGGATTACTTCAAGTCCATCCCAGGCAAGATGGTGAGATTCTGTCTCTTAACTTTTTGTTTTCAAATTAGCCATGTGTGGTGATGCATGCATATAGTTCCAGCTACTCAGGAGGGCAAGGTGGGATGAACCCTTGAGCTCAGGAGTTGGAGGTGGCAGTGAGCTGTGATTGCAGCATTGTGCTCCAGCATGAGTGACAAAGCAAGAGTTCATCTCGCAAATTTTTTTTTAAAGTAGGATATGAGAGATATAGCCAATTATTTTCAGATATATAAAAACATTTCCAATGGGCTCCACATGCAATTTTGGATTCAGAGCAGGTCTGCCGCTTTGCAAGGCACTACCCTTTACAGGAACATTTTCACCACATAGCTACTAAAAGGAAATGAGAAGGCCTATTTCTGAAATGTTTCCATGTACCCTTGGGTGAAAAACACTTTCAGTTCATTCCTCCACTGACATTAAAAGAGAATGTCTGTATTTCAGGCCAGAATAATAAAATGGATTTTTAATACTACATATGGCTGCTTCATCATATTTCTTAGGAATGGTGCTACGTAATATCACCGTGCACAAAATCACACACTCTTCAAGAAAACTGATTGTTAAATAGTTGTGTAATTGCCCACAAAGGGGCCCAGTACATCCTGCAGCCTGCTTCATGCATGTGACATTTAGTCTAACAGCTTAACCAGCCCTCTGCTGTACTTGCTGCAGAGAAAAGCTGAAACTGCTGGTTTCCAGGTCAGTTTATGTGGTCCAATCCCTGACCTGATTTCTTGCTGAGAGACCGAACCAGAGGACTCTAGGGCCCTGCCAAGGGCATCTGTACTGTACCGGGCCTGAGTTCAACAGAAATCAGATAAGCAATCTCCAACTTTTCATCCCTGGGTCTAAAGTCACATCCTGAAGAGTTTCGTTACAACAGTAATGAAACCCATACATGGTTTCCTATTGCTTTCCCTTCTTAATTTTCAGTGAGGATAATGTCACCAGAAGGTTCCATCTCCCTTTCTCAGTAACAAGGAGAAGTGAAACAGGCAATGGGATCTCAGACAAAGTCTAGGCTTGAGCCTTGGGGCGGTTTACCAAGTTTCTGTCTAGACCACGGAGATCTTTACCAATTTGCTGGCTAGATCTATGGATGCCTGGTTCCCCCAGTAGCTCTGCCATTTCAGCTACTTGAATGACGCTGAGGAACTGCTCTTGGGTGATTTCGCGAGGTTCTTTACCTTTTTTTTTTTTTTTTTGAGACGGAGTTTCGCTCTTGTTACCCAGGCTGGAGTGCAATGTCGCGATCTCGGCTCACCACAACCTCCGCCTCCTGGGTTCAGGCAATTCTGCTTCAGCCTCCTGAGTAGCTGGGATTACAGGCACGCGCCACCATGCCCAGCTGATTTTTTGTATTTTTAGTAGAGAAGGGGTTTCACCATGTTGACCAGGATGGTCTCGATCTCTTGACCTGGTGATCCACCCGCGTCGGCCTCCCAAAGTGCTGGGATTACAGGCTTGAGCCACCGCGCCCGGCGGTTCTTTACCTTTAGAAGTTCTGACAAAATGACCGAAGCTCTTTCCATATGAGTCTTGGTGGCAGGCCAACCTAGGCCTGGGAGCAGAGGATGTACCATGCCAGGTCATGCACAAGGGATTCTGATTATCCATCTGCAACACACCTTGCGAACTTGTCCGTGGTCACCGCTATCTGTCCAGTGCTGGCTGACGTCCAACCTAACCTGGAGTGGGTTTCTCCAGCAACATGTAGGTGATGTACACCTTGTGCAGGCAGTCTTGTAGACAACTTGACCTGCGCGCCCTCCGTCCATCCCTCCTGTCCCTCCTTTACTTCCTTGCCCAGGCTGGAGTGCAGTGGCGTGATCTTGGCTCACTGCAACCTCTGTCTCGCAGGCTCAAGGGATTCTCCTGCCTCAGCCTCCCGAGTAGCTGGGACTACAGGTGCTCGCCACCACGCCCGGCTATTTTTTTTGGTATTTTAGTAGAGATGGGGTTTCACCATGTTGGTGAAGCTGGTCTCGATTTCCAGACCTCAGGTGCTGCTCACCTTGGCTTCCGAAAGTGCTGTGATCACAGGCCTGAGCCAACGCCCCTGCCCGCCCTTTCTTTAGGAAACCGGGAGACGCCCCTGCTCACAGCGCCATCTGGTGGATCCTTGTGTAAGAACGGGATTAAAGCGCTTGTAAAATCCAGAGTAAAGGTCTTCCCAATCTCTCGGCTTCCTCAAAGCAGGACTGGTCAGTCACCTATTCAAACCAGGCATCTTCTTGCAAAGCACCCCCATCCCTGTTCTCGAGTCACCCTACTCTTGGCCAAATACTAGGCTCTGAAGGCTCACTCCACTTTATACAGCCGATCCTCAACAACATATAGCAAGCAGCAGATGTTCTCATCCATGATATCCCAAAGATGGCGAGGCTAATGCTCCCATGTCATTAAAGTATCTCATACCTCTGTTGGAGGCTTCTGAAATGTCTGGCTATTCTGGGGGCACCAGCGGCCTTTTCACTCAGAGAGCAGAAAAGGCTGAGAGGTGGCCGGTACGGGTAGATAGTGTTGCGTCTGGCTGGGAAGCAGAATGCCTGAGAGAATGAGCGGAGGCTGACGGGGCAAGGGTGACTGGTGCAGGGTCTGAGGCTGCTGAGATGAGGTTGACCGTCTGTAGGATGAGAGCTCCTCGCGGGCAGCAGTGGCTGGAGTGGGTTCCTCCGAAATCAGGTGGTCTCCCAAGGCGTAGCCAATACTCAGACGTGGTACATCCATTACGAGGAGGTGCCAGAATGATCCCTTCCAGAGAAGCTTCACCGGCAAGAAGAGTACCCCTTCCCACAAGAGCACATTCACACACGAGGGTCTCCCCGGATGGGCAGGGCTGGCTCGCTTTGGCACGTATCAGGGTAAAGGTACTGAGCTCACGAGAAACATACTCTTAGTAGCATTGTTCTAATACAACCAAGTTGAAATGTGAGGTAGACAATTGGATATATGGTTCTGACATTCAGAGTAGAAGTCTGGGACTAGAGTTTGTTGCGCAGGGGTTGGGAGTGGCTAGTGTACATTTAAAGCCATAAAACTAGATGAAATTTCCCAGGGAGTGAGAGCAAAGAGATAAAAAGACAACACTGAGCCTGGGCCATGCCAATATTTGGAGAGAGGGAAGATGGAAAGCATCCAGCAAAGGAGACAGGAGGCAAAGTGAAAACAGTGTTCCAAGGAGAGAGGGATCAGCTGACATCAGGTAAATTGAAGACCAAGAATAAATCACTGGTGACCTTGACGAAAAGCACTTTGGGTGACATCATGAGGATAGTACTTGTTTTCACTGGTTGCAGATAAAATGGAATGGAAGTAATGCTTATGAAGTGCCTTTTATGTGTGTTAAAAAGTTTGCAATTTTAAAATTACAAATACCCTATGAGAGAAAAGATGATGTTTGTCCTCATTTAACTGACAATGAAATAGCCTTAACAGTACCAAGAATTTTACCAAGGTCATATAGCAGTACAGAGACCATTTTTATAGTGCTACATATTTTTAGCAGTATTTTCAGCCAATATTTTCTTCATACTCATTGCTAGGTACTGTTTGCTCTTAGTCTTTATTTAGAAAGATGTTGGGGAGAAGTCAAAATCCACTTGAAAAAGGTATACATGCAAAGAATGTTGGAGAACAGATGGCCAAACTAAGTGAATGTAAGCCATTGGACCAAACTGTAATTTGCAGTGTTTCATTGTGACACCTGGTCTTTTGTATCCTTTATAAACAATGGTCTGAAGACTAAATTTAGCCACTGTTTAGTTTTTGGCATTTAATATTTTAATCCTTTCTAATGTTGGTATTTGGTATCCGTTTATGATCTCTTTTCAAAAGTTCAGTAAGCATATCAAGCAGAATCCTATGGATAAAAAAAAATCAAGTAACATCATAGGATGGTTTCTACTCTCTGGGATGTTGAATTTATATCACAATCACTTCTATACAATGGCTCCTGTAAGATTTTCCTCCATCATAATTTCACACTTTGTTCTTTAGTAGCAAGCCTAATAAATATATTCACTTTCCTAGAAGCTGCCCATCAAAAGGCTTTTTCTAGGAAATATTTTTTTCTCCTTTCAAAGCTTTTCTTTGAGTCTTCATGGAGGATATTACCAAGTTCTGGGTTAACTGAAATTTTCTATTTCTCTTTCTATACCACATTTCATAGCAGAGGTACTCTTGGGCTGGGCAGGCTAGAGTTATTAATAAGCTTTATTATTTAATAGCAGACTTTTCATAGTATTATCCTAACCTAGCAAAACATTTATACTTTGATGTTGTCCTTAGGATATATTCCTCTTTTGCCTATACAATCTGAATCCTAGGGAGATTATATGTCACTGTTATCTTTAAATCTTCAAGTCTGTAAGATATAGTCTATTGACAGAAGATTTTTAAATTTTCATTTGTTTTCAGATGTTCGCACACAAGCCATGTACCAGATGATGGATCAAGGCTTTGTAGGACTTATTTTCTCCTGTTTTATAGAAGATAAAAACACAAAGGTATTTTGTTTTTGTGTGTATGTGTGCTGTGTGTGTGTGTGTGTACATACAGAGTAGAGAAAAATCTCTTTGCAATTTTAATAGGATGGCCAGGAAAGGTTTCAATGAAAAGGGTCATTGAGTCAGGACCTGAAGAAGGTGAGGGAACAAGTCTTATGGATTTCTTGGGGAAAGAACGTACCAGGCAGAGGAAATAGCCAGTGCAAAGACCCTAAGGCATGTTGAGGGAACATCAGGGAAGTTGGTGTGGCTGCAGCAGATTGAGGAAGACCATGACCATACATCCCACTTTGCCTCTGTCAGTCCCAGTTTTGCCCTATTATCCTAGTGTCTTCCCTCTTGGAGGTGTCCCAGTTTGAATGATAACTCATTTAGTTGTCCTAAACAAGGCCCAGATCTTGTCAGGGCCTTGCCAGGCTTTGACTCTGACTTGGGAAGTCACTGGAGGATGACTTTGTGTTTTAATGGGATCTCTGGCTTCTGTGTAGTCTGAACAGTAGGCAGAGGGTGGGGGTGGAATCCATGGCATCAGTGAAACCTGTTAGGAAGATACTGCTATAATCTAGACAAGAGATGATGGAGGTTTGGCCATGGTGGTAAGAGTGAAGACAATGAGAAGTGGTTGTATGCTGTATATACATATGTATATATACATACATACATTATCTTCACTCTTACTATATGTATGTATATAGTTTGATGGCTAGTGATAGTAACAATTACCATTTGTCATCTACTGTATGGCATGTACTTATTAGGTGCTTTACATGAATATGCTGTAACCCTGACAAAAGCCCAGGATGATTATTCCCATTTTATGGATGAACAAACTGAAGCTAAGAGAGGTTAAGCAGTTTGATCAGTGGCCAGTCTTGCCATTCTCTATTTGAATTCTGTTTGAATTTTATGTTCATGTCAAGAGGTTATGATATGTGTCAGTTCAAACAAATATTACTACTTAACATTGTAGGTATGAATTCTGCCAAGAATACCAACAGTGTCTTATTTACTGCACTAGCTATATTCTTAGAATCTGTGTTATAATGAATATTTTCCATAAAATCACTTTTCCAGAAACATTAAAGTTCAGTACCTTGAACTTTATACATCATTTAAAATGCTTTCAGCTTTGTCATCATACATTTATTTATTTATTGTCATCATAAGTAGTTGTTGAATATGTTTGTCAGCTTTGAGGACAGCAGTTTGAATGTTCAGGTTCTTAGGATCCTGGTTCTTGTCTTTGTTAATAATTCCCTGCTGTTACATGACCAGATGTTTGGTTGTGACCATCTTATGTTGACTGAGCATATGATCCTTTTTATAGAAATTGATTTATGGCAAAGTACATCTTTGGAATCTCTTTTAACCTTCTGCTTCTGGAGGGACCTTTGGGGTCTTCCTCAGTATTAATCTTTCTTTGTGTGACATTTCTTTCTTTCTTTTTTTCCTTTGATAGACTGGCCGGGTACTCTACACTTGCTTCCAATCCATACAGGCCCAAAAGAGTTCAGAGTAAGTATGAGAGAGACTTACGTGTGTGTTGGAGGGCTAATCTCCAATCCAGGGAATTTATTGTTTTGTTTCATTTTATTTCTTTCACTGGTAAGACACTAAGAACTCTATATTTCTATTTATACTGATTTACAGCTCTATGATGAGTTAGAATCTCTTTAGCAGTTTGGATATGGGCTACCTAGGAAGCTGGAGTCATAGGAGCAGTCTCTTAACTGTAATTACATCACCACAGTCCTGCTTGACATTTAGCAGGTTGGATATGGGTGAATCATAAAACAAAGATTGAACATGCAGAGTATTAGATGTGTATAGATTCTTGTCTTTGCTGTGTCATAAATTTGATTTCAGAATTAGAGTATCTTATTTAAATGTTTATATAGATCCATTTCCTTATTGAAATCCAATTCGATCTAAATTAGCAATTTTTTTTTTTTTTTTTT